TATCCTTCTGTTCGAAGCCCGTGATGTTGAAATGCGGCCCATGTGCGCCACCTGCCTTCAGCCATTGAAGGTTGCTCGAAGTTGCTGCCATCAATCGAGCTTCCAGTGCTGCTGCGTTTTCATCACCACTGAGAACTGGCTGGTGTAAGTCTGACAGCATAAACTTGCGATATGGTAATGACTGCTCAATGCGGCCCTGATCCATCGAGTGTGGTGGGCGCGCTATGTCCAAATCCATCGCCATACGAGATCTGGCACCAGTGTATCGGTGTGGGTTAAGCAAATCCACAACACAATTACTAAATGTGAGCCCGGTGGCAGCGGTCCTTCTCTCTCCCCCTCCTACTTCCTCCCTCCTCTCTCCCCCTCCTCCCTCCTCTCTTCTCTCCTTTCTCTTTCTCTCTCTCTCTCTCTTTCTCTCTCTCTCTCTCTCTCTCTCTCTCTCTCTCTCTCTTTCTTTCTTTATCTCTTTATATTTCTCTCTCTCTCTCTTTCTCTCTCTTTGTCTCTTCCATTTTTCTTTCACCCCTGTGAAAGGCGGAAGAGACCCGGACCAGCCAGACCAGCCAGATAAACAAACCACCCATACCGACCAGAATAGCCACCCTCCATATGTACAACGTCTGCAAACTCGCAAGACGAATGTGAGCGGCGCCAAGGCGAGAGTTGATGATCGATGCCCTCCTGCCACAAGAGAAAGCAATTGGCTTGGACGGCTAAAGCTTTTCGCTATCTCGATGCCGACAAACATCCGAAAGCACCAGAAAACCATCGACATCAGGCGTTTGCCGTTAGAGACATACCAACCAAGGGGGAGAGGGGGGGAGGAGAACGAGGAGGAAGAGGAGGAGGAGGAGGAGGAGGACAGGTCTTTCTCTCTCTTTCTTGTGTGTCTCTCTCTCTCTCTCTTTCTCTCTCTCTCTCCCTCTCTCTCTCCCTTTTTCTCTCTCTCTCTCTCTCTCTCTCTCTCCTTCTCTCTCGTTCTTTCCCCCTATCTCTCTCTCTCTCTGTCTCTTCCCTTCTCTCTCTCTCTCTCTCTCTCTCTCTTTCTCTCTCTCTCTCTCTCTCTCTCTCTCTCTCTCTCTCTCTCTCTCTCTCTCTCTCTTTTCTCTCTGTATTTGTCCCTCTATGTATACACATACAAAGTTATCCTGCCCCCCTGTGGGGGGCGGAATGGAGTCACAAAGGGAATATTTTTGTATTTCGCCACAAAGAGAATTTTTGTTGCAGTCCGCCACAACGGGAATCCTTTTGTACTCAGCCACAAAGAGTCATTTTGTATTCCGACGAAAAGAATTCCTCTTGTATTCCGCCGTAAAGAGATTCATTTTGCATTCCGCCGCAAAGGCTATCATATTCCGCCGCAAAGGGAAGCCTTGTGTATTCCGACACAAAGGGAATCATTTTGCATTCCGACAAAAAAAAAAGGATCCTGCTATCTTCCGCCACAAGGGGAATCCTCTTGTGTTCCGACACAAAGGGCATCCTTTTGTAATCCAACGCAAAAGGAATCCCCTTGTGTTCTACCACAAAGGGAATCCGTTTGTATTCCGACACACAGGGAGTCCTTTTGTAGTTCAACACAGAACGAATCCCTTTGCATTCCGCCACACAAGAAGCCCTTTTGTAGTCCGCCACAAAAGGAATCCCTGGTATTGGTTTGGGCGAGAAAAACATTGTGAACACAACGTGTTCTTCGCTATTCAGTGAAAAGCCAAGGAAATATTGTGTTTTTCGTGTTCTTACTTAAAAATACCCATAATGTGAACACCAATAACATATCTGAGATCTCTGTGCCTACCAATGGAAAAATTCATTTTGTTATTACAAATCTCTGCATCCCGTTGAAAACACAAACGAAACGAATCGTTGTATTGGAATGCCCTACATCTCGATGAAAACACGATATTCCCAGCCTCTTAATCAGCTACAAAAAGATTCCGTTTAGCCGCGGGATACAATAGGACTCCCTTTGTGGCGGAATACAAAAAGATTCCGTTTGTGGCGGAATACACCAGGTTTCCCCTTGTGGCAGGATACAAAAGGGTTTCCTTTGTGGCGGAATACAAAAAGATTTCCTTTGTGTCCGAATACAAAAGGATTCCTCGTGCGTCGGAATACACAAAGACTCCCTTTTTGTGGCGGAATACAAAAAGATTCCCTTTGTGGCGGGATGTAAAAGGATTCTCTTTTTGTCGGGGTACATGAAAATTCTTTGTGGCGGAATACAAAGGGATCCCTTTTGTGTCGGAATACAAAAGGATTCCCTTGTGGCGCAATACAAAAGGATTCGCTGCGTGATTCTCTTTGTGGCAGAATACACAAGGACTCCCCTTGCGGCGGCATACGAAAGGATTCCCTTTACGGCGGGCTCCCACCCCCCACATTCCATGGACGACCCCCCAGCCCACAACGAATGCAAGAAGCTTCTTTGTAGGGCACTCTTACCTAGAAACCATCACGTTGCCAGTCGTCAAACAAAAAACCTGCACGAATCATGAGTATCCTCAACGCAGCGTCCCGGAAATCGGAATGGCAACGAACAGGTCGATCCATCCTTTCCCAGGGACTCTACCAACGAATTCCTTCGTTCAAGCTGGGTCGCAACATCACCTTCTTGATGTTTTCACGATTCATGCCCAGGTTCATATTGTGGGAGAGCGCGACTTCCGTGAATGCCATTACCATATTTTCTGATATGCCAGTGGGCCGTCGCCGTCATGTAGACCGTTAGATTTTCCACGGGATTCCGCCCCGTCCAACGTGTCATTCAACGAATATAGAAGATCCTCGTCCAACTTGGCGTAGTGTTTATCGTCTAACGCATGTCCCCCATGCGCGTCCTCTCTTATTGTTTGATGTGCGATGCCTTGGTGTCTTCGCCTACTGCTAAATTCCCGCTCATGATCTTTATCAGGTCGTCCTCCTCGTCGTATGGTAACGCGCTACCCATGGTTTCAAGCTTGCTATTCAAACGTGACAACGCTTTCCGATAACCACCCTTCCATTGAGCAGGCGCATTCCACAACTGTCTGCTCCATCCATGAATTTGGCCCGGCCACCACTGAACGTTTTTGAGCTGTCTTGTGTTCTTTCACGCGCTTGCTTCCACCTCCTCCAGCCATGGAATCGAGGATCCGGGCAACATGCCCCGAAACATTCGAGGTTGGCATTATGTCCGAGAGCATCTTCAAGTTATTGAACTGTTCGTGGCAGCACCCACTGCGGCTGATGACTCAAACCAAGAGAGCACGAGTTGTGCAGCTCACATGCAACACTGTGAATGCCTCGTCATTGCCCACCATGATGACGCCTAGCGTAGCGCTGCACTCGGGAAGAATCATCCCTCATGATTGACAATGAGCACTGTGTCAACATACCTGAAATCTCCGTTCTCGAAACCGGCATTGCACAGTTCCGCAAATCGGTTCGTGTTCAAATTGTACCAGCTCTCTCGAACCTCGGTAACGTTACATCTAAGCCTGTGTCGGCTGTGCCAAGGTTCGGTGGTGCCGTTGCGGTTGCCGCCGAGGCCACTGCAGGGAGGCGACTGCTTCGCGGAGTCAGCCACGCGCACTGGAACCCGTAGGGCGAACCATGGTCTCAACTACAATGAAAATATGATAGGAGCCTGTTTCCCAGAACGCAAATAAAACTTCAGCCAAGCGGCGTCAGTCGACGCACGCTTAACCCTGTATCAAATCAGTTACCCGACAGGGAAAGGCAACTACACAATTCATAGATGGCAACGTACGGTTACGAGACCTGCTCACCCAGTCGGAGCGCCATAATCTAGCACCTCCTCCTCGGCCTCCTCCCGTCCTCCTTTTCCTCCCTCTCCTCCTCCTCATCCTCATCCTCCTCCTCCTCCTTCTCCTCCTCCTCTTCATCCTCCTCCGTCTCCGTCCTCTTCATCTTCCAAGTGTTCCCCCAAGATGTTCCCCAATGGCTGGGTGAAGACTTAGTCCAACAGCTTGGCCAAACTTCGGCCCAACAGTTGGCCGTGCTGGCATTTTCAAGAGACAGGGGGCGGCGGTGATTCGCCGAAGGCGTCTTCGATCCGCCGCACCCTGTGTTCATCCCAGGGGTGCTTAGCGTGTTAGGCGTGATAATGGTTTAAACCTGTTTGAAGGGTTTCCCAGTGGCCTCTGGTTTGGTGCGCCACAGTATCCCAAAACAGGCGTCTCGCCTGAGACATCCTCAAAGAGAGATCAAGATGGCCTCCTAGACTGTCCCAAGACGCCTCCGAGGCGTTCAAGATGGCTCCAATAGAGTCCAAGATGGAGTGATGGCCCCAAGATGCCTCCAACCTCCAAGACGGCTCAAGATGGACCCAAGAGGCCTCAAGACTCCAAGAGAACCTACAGGGGGCCAAAATCATTGGTTTGCCATACATCCATATGTCACCAGTCTGGGCGTTCTCAACTTGTCGGCCGTACGACATCCGAGGATGGCCCCACGTGCCTCCAAGATAGTTCCAAGACGGCCCAAGAGGGCCCCACGAAGGGCAAAGAGGGTCCCAAAACGGCATCAGAGACCCCCAAGACGACCCTAAGAGGACCCCAAGACGGCCCCACATACCTCCGAGATGGTCATAAAGCGCCCAAAGAGCGCCGGACGACGGCCCAGCAGGGCCCACAAGACGGCCTCCGAAGGCAAACAGGTCCCACAGAGACCCCGATAAGCCCCCAAAGAACACCCAAGAGGCCCCAAGAGGCCTTCAGAGCCAAGAGGCCCCCAAGAGGCCCCCAGGAGGCCCCAAGAGGCCTCCTGTCTCTCCTCCTCCTCCGCCTCCTCCTTCTCCTCCTCCTTCTCCTCCTCCCTTTCCTCTTTCGCTTCCACCTACTCCCTCTTCCTCCCACGAATGTTCCTCCAAGGGTTTCCATGACGGCTGGGGGGAACACGTAGTCGAATGGCTCGGGCAATCTTGGGCCCAACGTTTGGCCGCGCAGGCGATGCAGACAGGCAGGGGTCGAGGGTGGTTCGCCGCAGGCGTGCTCGACTCATCGGTGCAATTCCGCCGCTCCAGTCGTCACCAGGGCGGCGCAGGACGGCTGCGATCTGCTCCCAGGATGACCCCGAAGCCGTCTCGACGCACCCCCCAGGATCGCAGCAGACGCGGCTCGAGACACCCCAGGAGAATCTGCGGGGGTGGCCCCCCAACGGATTCAAAGATGGTGTCCGAGGGGCCGTCATTGAGTCCAACGCTGCCGTAACGGCCCGACCGTCACCGCAAGGAGGACCGACGCAGCGGGGGGCGTCGGCCAGGGGTCGTCCTCCCGTCTCCGCGCGGCGGCACCAGCAGCTGTGCAGTGGTTCTCGTCGCTTCGAGCGCACTACCCTGGATTGGGCACCGCCCTTGGAGCGGCAACCTCCGAGATGAAAATTCAACAGCCTAGACGAGCTCGCGGGAGCGAAGGAACGTTGCAACGAGGCCACCAACGCTGTGGAGATCGCGTCCAGGAACTGATGTTTGCCAGGCCTAGGTAAAGGAGGCGCTGGAGAAAAAAATAACCTGGCTGCATAGCTGCCGAGTCGTTCCGCCAACCTGCGATGAAAATTGAGCGGTGTCCCTTCGCTGCTCCTTCAGAACGTTGGAGATACCAAAAATGGCCGACGGCTTGCCGCTTGCATGCTTTCATGGACAAATATGGCTGAGGCGACCATTTTCAAAACCTGTGTCTATGATGGGCTGGCAGTCTGGAATAGCCATCACTCCAGTCTGGTACGCCTTGACCAAATGATGGAGGAATTCGCTGCTCTGCAAAGTTGCATGAGGATAGAAAGAACAGTTTGGCACCAAACCTAAGCCTGAATTGTCACCTCCAAGACTTGCAACTTCATTGGCACCCAATTCAACTAATACTTCTGATGCCAAGCTGGCTCCCGATGACACACCTACATATGCGAACGCCCCGGTGCCATCTAACACCTTGGAACGGATAATATCTCTCAATGTTGTCCCGAAAACAGCTGGCTGACTCAACGTCAATTTTCTGCGAAAACTTTGTGCTAAAATGAGAGGACTACCGCATTCGACAAACACCGCAACAGCACGATTCAATTCCTGAAATATGAAATCGTCGTCGATCCTACGCATAACCTCCCCGAACTCTTTACTCGCTCCGCCCTCTGCAAGACCACGTTTCCAAAGATGCTCCCGTGCAGAGGGATCCACTATGACACAGGTTACGACAGAAGCACCGAGCGAACTCAGCTCTGCTTTGCGCATTTGGCAATATTCATAAGAGCTTGTCAATTGCGTCCCCGCTTCGTATGCATCGTAAGCGGCATCTAACACGAGCATCACTCTTCTAGTGGCAGCAGCGTGGTGGAAGGCGGATGACGCCGATGCTGTCTCGAGGACATGCCGAAAGGCTTCCCGCACCGAGGGTGATGTGAGCCCGGCTGCCGTCAGCAGCAGGCGGCGGCTGCTGCTGCCGCTTGCGCAGCCGTCTGGAGGCATGTCCAGCTCTTTCATGGGGCAAGGCTCCGCAGCAGTGCTACAGAATGCCCACCTCTCGCGAGTCCACCCCACGAGGTACGGCGGGGCGGCGGGGCCCTCGTGTGCGATGAGCGCCACGCTGCGGCCAAGACCCACCTTGTCACGCCCCAGCCATGCCAGCCCAGAAACAGAAAGAAGACCGAACAGACAACCAGACCATATGCGATGGCCCTGGGCTTGCCCGGTCGCAGTGTTACCCCCCAGAGCTTGATAGGATGTATTCATCAGGGTGGTCTTCGTGTCAGTATGCTACTCGACCAACTGATGCCTTAGCAACGAGCGCTGCCGCAATCAAAACTTGGACCACACTGGCTACGGATAGCCAGATTGGATGCAAAAGGTCATTGCGAAACGACCGTTACCGAATTCTACATCTCATATGTGTAAATACTGCATGCCACCTCCAACATACGAACCACGTATGTTGTGACTTGGACGTCCAGTATCAGAGTGAGGGGGCCGAACAACCATTCAATGTCCCTGGGTGCGTGGCTGAAGTGGAGATCCGTGATGATTATGCGTGTTGCTGTTGCTATTGTTGTTGGTGTTGTTGATGTTGATGTTGATATTGTTGTTGTTGTTGCTGTTGTTGTTGGTGTTGGTGTTGTTGCTGTTGCTGTTGGTGTTGTTGTTGGTGATGGTGTTGTTGTTATTGTGTGTTGTCGTCGTCCCACCCGCGACCCATCCGCGGCCCAACTCGCGACCCACCCGGCGACCCACCCCGCGATCCACCCCGCGACCCACCCCGCAACCCACCCGCGACCCAACCCGCGACCCACCCGCGACACAACCCGCGACCCACCCGCGACCTACCGGCGACCCACCCGCGACCTACCCCGCGACCCACCCGCGACCCACCCCGCGACCAATCCGCGACCCACCCGCGACCCACCCACGACCCACTTGTGACCCATCTGTGACCCACCCCGCGACCCACCCGCGACCCACCACGCGACCCACCCGCGACCCACCCGCGACCCACCCGCGACCCAGTCGCGACCCATTTTCGACCCACCCGCGACCTACCCACATTGGGTTAACGAAAAATTGGCGCCTGCGGCGGGCTTCTCCTCGAGGATTGGGGACTCTGTTGGAACTCTTTTGCGGCTCCCTTGAACCTCTGTCGGGACTCTTTTTTGTCTGGCCTTTCGGGCCACTCTTGGGGCTCTGCTGGGGCTTCTTGGAGCATCAGGAACCCTCCTGGGACAGTCTGGGGCCAATTAAGCGCCAAGAATGTCGGACAGCGTTGGCTGTTTCAAGTTTGGAATGAATTGGGGCCCGTTTGGGATTCCTTTGCGGTTCTTTCGGGTCCTCTTGAGGACTTCTGGGCCCATCTTGGGCCTGCCTGCGAGCCCGGGGACGGAATCGACGCGATGGTGGATGCCGATCGGACTCTTGGTCCGTCACAGAAGCTCCCAAAATCGAAGAGCGATAGTACCAAAAGCATACAACTCACAACAGGCTTTGGACTGCGTTGGCCTCCCGAGGTCCTCCTGGGGGTCCTCTTGGAGACCTTTCGGGCCGTCTGGTGGCGATCTGTAGGTCTCTTCGAGGACTGCTGGAGGCGATCCTGGACAATCATGAATAAAGGACCTAAGAACTGTATAAACGTAAGCTCTCTGAGGTCCGAAACATCGTGCGTACGCAATTGTTTGTTGATCGATTGATCAGCCGCGAACCGTATTGGCCTCCATCTTGGAGACCGCCTAAGACTCGATCCGCACCTTGCCAAAGCCAACCCCAAGGCCACACGCGCCGATTCCATTGCCGCGGGTCGCCCAGCTGGGCTTGACCCATTCTATGCGGAGAAGGCCTGCCCTGGGGTGTGAACCAGGGCTCGGCCTTCGCATAACATATGTTTGTTGTCCTGGATTTGCGATGCATCTGCGCAAACACTGATAGCGGCGATTATTTGAGACTCACTCCAGCACCTCCCGAAGTGCTTCGTGCTCTGAGAGCGCTCCGGCTGTTCGCGGAATTTCTCCCCCATTCCCTCCCAACCTTCCTTGACGCCTGAGTGCCCAATTCGCACCGCTGCAGCTGCGCCGTAGCCACGACCGCAACTTGGATCCAAGGCGACGCTGGCCAACATGATCGACCCACGAACCCAGAAAGGGACTGAGAGCTGCGAGGCATGGAACCGTTTCTAAGGAACTGAACTGCAAATGCCACTGGGCGATACCAGGGGGACATGACAGGGGGATGCGCCGCGGAACGTCCTAGGGGATACGCCAAGGGACGTGGCAGGGGACGTGCCATGGGGACGCACCGCGGGACGTGCCAAGTGAACGCGCTACAGAACGTGCCAGTGGACGTGCCACGGGACGTGCCAGGGGACGCGCCGCGCGACAACGTGCCAGGGGGACACGCCACGGGACGCGCCACGGAACGTGCTAGGGGACGTCCCAAGCGACGCGTCAAGGGACGTGCCAGGGAACGCGTCAGGGAACGTGCCACGGGACGTGCCACGGCACGCGCCAAGGCACGCGCCGCGGATAACCTGGAGCCTCCTAGGATCTTCGCGACCCGTTATTAGTCGAGAGGTCAAGGGCCACAGGATCCCTCGCAGAGTACGCTGCGTCCGCGCTGCCTGGACTACGATCCATAACGAATTCCGCTGGGCCCGCACTCCCAGCCCCACGATCACTAGTCAGTGATGCTGCGTCCGCTACTCCAAGGCCACGATCCCTCGTACATTACAGTCGGGGCGTTGACCTAAGGAACCCTGAATAAGGAACGAGGCCCCTGTTTTCCATAAGTTCAACTTCGATTCCACATGGAAAACCTAAGGACAACCCAAGGCAAACTGTGAAACAATCCAGGAACACCGAGCCCCTCCCCCCTCCCCAACGAAAAGGGTTCCTTCTCCAGCGCCCCGACTGTACGCCACGTCCGCGCGCCCAGTGCCACGACCCCATCGTAAACCACGCCGGACTCGCGCTCCCAGTGCAGAGATGACTCGTAGAGTACGCTCGATCCCTGCTGAAATACGCAGGTATGCCGAAGGTGTGCAGAAGGTACTCTGAAGTTACGCCGGACACGCTCGCTGAAGGTATGCCAAGGGTACCTTGAGGGTACGCGGTCCCTGCATCGCTCGTAGACCAGAGAAGTCGCTGAAGGTACGATGTCCAAATTGGCGCAGGTACGCTGAAGGTACGCTGAGGGTACGCGGAGGGGTCGAGGACAGACCCCCACTACCCCTGCTCCCCTAGACAATCGCTCCCCCATCCCGCGGACCCAGAAAGGGGCCACGCGCGTGCGCAGGGCCAGCGGAATCGAATTGAGAGAATGTCCCAAGCGAAACGCTGGTTGTCTGGAATTCCCATCGGTGAAACACAGGGACGCATGTACATGTTCGTTGTTGTTGCGGATGTCTTGCATGAAACGCTTGTTTTGCACATCTGTTGAGGATGTCTCGAGCGATGCGCTTGTTTTGTCTTACAGAGTGCTACTCTCCTGGGGGGCCGAATTCAGAGGATGTCTCTGGCGAAATGCTTGTTTTCACGTGCCCAGGTCGCCCAAGGGGTTATCTAACATGGTTGCCGTCGGATGGGACCACGTGTTTTCACGTGTCCAGGCACCCAGCCAGGAAGGTATCTAAGGTGGTGGTCCCGAGCTGGTTTACGTGTCCAGGCTACCCAGTGGGGTATCTAACATGGTGGCCCCGAGCTGGAACCACTTGTTTTTACGTAGCCATGCAACTCACAGGAGTGGCGAACATGGCTGCCCCGAGCTGGACCCATGTGTCTTTACGTGTGCGGGCCACCCACGGGGGGCATCTAACATGTGGTCGTCGGCGGGGCCCAGTGTGGGGGCCCACAAGAGCCAAACAACATCGATACATCGACACCAGATGTGTAATAACTTGACACAGTTTCGTCGGCTGATATTGTTCCAGATTTCCCCCCGGGGTATCTAACATGGTGGTCCCGAGCTGGAACCACGTGTTTTCACGTGTCCAGGCCAACCAGAGAAATACATAGCATGGTGCCCTCGAGCTGAAACCACGTGTTTTCACGTGTCCAGGCCACCCAGGTAGGTATCTGACATGGTGGTCCAGAACTGGAGCCAATTGTTTTCACATGTCCAGGGCACCCAGGAGGATATCAAACATGACGGTCCCGATCTGGGACCAAGTGTCTTTACGTGTCAAGGCCACCCAGGGAGGCATCTAAGATGGTGATTCCGAGCTGGAAACACGTGTCTTACGTGTCCAGGCCGCTTAGGGCACGAAGCTGGAACCACGGTTTGCACGTGTCCAGGCCACCCCAGGGTGTATCTAACATGGTTGCCTCAAGCTGGAGCCACGTGTGTTCACGTGTGCGGCCCACCCCCAAGGGGGCATCCAACATGTGGGCCGACAAGAGGCAGACAAAATCAAGAAATCACCGAAAGATGCGTAATACCTGACTCAGTTTGCTCGGCTGGTGGATGACCAGATTTGGGGTATCTAATATGGTGGTCCCTCACTGGAATCACATGTTTTCAAATGTCCAGGCCACTTAGGGGGGTATAGCACGTGCTGGCCCCGAGCTGGGACCAACTGTTTTTCGTGTCCAAGCCGCCCAGAGGGGGGGCATCTAAGGTGGGTGTCTCTTGCCCTTCACTGGAATCACGTGTTTTCACGTGTCCACGCCACCCAGAAAGATCTTTAGCATGGTGACCCCGAGCCGGAACCACGTGTTCCCACGTGTCCAGGCCACCCAGAGGGGCATCTAACGTGGTGGCACCGAGCCAGAAACATGTGTTTTCACGTGTCCAGGCCACCCAGGGGTATCCGAGATGATTGCCTCGAGCTGAAACCACGTGTTTTTTCTTGTCCGGGCCACCCGGATGAATGTCCAACATAGTGGCCCAGACTGGAACCGCGGTCGCGGTCGTCGCCGTCCGCCGTCATTGTCGTCGTCATCGTTTCGGCCGACCTCGTCTCAATTCATTTCGCCTCGATTTGGGATCGCCCTTATCATTTCGCCCTGTTGCGGAATAGCATCCGTTCATAAGGTCTCGACTGCAATCAGCCCAGGCAGCTCGAGCACGATGCCCAGCTCAGTTCTGTCAGAATTCGGATGTCAGGGGAGATTTGATCCACGACGCAACAGGACACAGAATTGCTTAGATTCGCCCCCTTTCGGTTGGTTCCGCTCTCGAATTGAATCGGATAATGAGCTCGAGCTGGCTAAGCGCCCCGCGCGTTTCGATTGCGGCCAGACCTGAGTTATGCGTTGAGGCAGCTCGAGCATAAGATCCAAATCAATTCACAGTCGGAATTCCGACGCCGCGGTCAACGTGATCCCCAATACAACAGAG